CTCTGGGTGCTTGTAGAATACACTTTCTACGTCTTATCAAGACGTCTTCCTCTACTTGGTGCGGCCTTGGGACGTTCGGATTAGAGTAGCCTATCGTGTCACTGGATCATTTGTCTTCGCTCTCGTTTACCGAGTAAGGTGAACTCGTAATAGTTCCAAGCATATCAATTAACGAGCATATCATACATGACTGGTCATCGGCTATCATGGAACTGGATCTCCTGACATTGCTCCACTGTCTATTTTTGAACTAGGCTTTTTAATAAGGATGGTGGCCCTCTGAAAAAACCTACTTGTTCGAATTGGACACCCAGGCAGTATCTCAGGAAAGACACAAATCCAATAGTTTGTGTGGTGTACAACCATTTTGTACCAACGTTTGTGTTTAAATCAACTAAATATATAAAACAAGAACCTGTGCCTGCATTCACTCCTCATGATGAACTGTTGAACACAGTTGAGAAGTCCGGGTATATGGGTAGCAGCATGAAATGCAATGAAATCCAAAAGGTTTAAGCCAGTCGGCAAAATTTTTAGCGCCATCATAATGATAAAATCTATATGCAAGTGTTTGACGCAAAAAACTCATTGATTATAGCGGTTCTAATGTATGTTCGTGAAACCTATCCCATCTGACCTTAAAATGTCCAAAGATTCCCTTTGTCCGTGAAAAATTGGTGATAATAAGGTAGCGATTCCATGTTAATAATCCTGAAGTTTGAGAATGTGGAATTTGAACACAGTAACGACTACTCAATCGATGCTACTCACTGAAAACACTGACTTTGGTATCGTTGTAGTCAGGACTTAACGAATTTCATCAGAGTCGCTCTCGTGTTGCACATGATTTCACGGCACCAGAAAATGAGCAGAAAAACCTACGAAATGATCAGTTCATTACAAGTTATCAGTTGATTATTATTCCTAAGTTGACATCCAAGCGATATGGTAAGAACTGGGTGATTTTGAGAAGTTATTACGTATAGCATCGAATAAATACCATAAGATGAGATGAGATTCCATTACAGAAAGAAGGAGGCTTTTGTTAGGATATTCATCCAATATCCTAAGAGAATTATTGGTCAAATCCTATTGGTCGATTTCTATTGGTCAAAATTATGGTCGTTTTAACTGTCAAAGTCAAATACTTCAATGTTGTCTCTGATTGGTCATCCGCACTGTCAATGTCATTTCAAATGGTTACTATCTATTGGTCGTCCTAACTGTCAATGCCACAGAATTCCATGCCGTTTTCTATTCGACCAAAATGTATAAATACCCATTATCTGAAACGTTTTATGACAACGACCAGTACCAGGACCCGGTCCCGGATCCCTAGTCCGGGATCCTGATTCTCTTCTGGGCTCGGACCTATACTTTCTGGATGCTTGTAGAATACAGATTCTACTTCATATCATGTCTTCTTATTTTAACTAAATATGGGGGTTGGAATAATCGGATTTGAGTAGCATGTGGTGTCACCGGATCCTTGCTCTCGTTTCCCGACTAGGTAAACTTGTAATAGTTCAAGTACATCAAGTTGACGTGTTTACGTGCAGGCGTAACAGAAACTTCATCAGATGAGGTTGGGATATGTGTTACGAATGTCCAACAACCAACTGCCTCGACGAGCTGTTTTGTGGTGTAGGAGTAGGCTGGAAGAAATCTAGGGGCGGCCAAACCAAAACACCACAGAAATCTGAAACGTTTTATGACAACGACCAGTACCAGGACCCGGTCCCGGATCCCTAGTCCGGGATCCTGATTCTCTTCTGGACTCGGACCTCGTACTTTCTGGATGCTTGTAGAATACAGATTCTACTTCATATCATGTCTTCTTATTTTAACTAAATATGGGGGTTGGAATAATCGGATTTGAGTAGCATGTGGTGTCACCGGATCCTTGCTCTCGTGTCCCGACTAGGTAAACTCGTAATAGTTCAAGTATATCAAGTTGACATGCAGGCGTAACAGCTTTATTTAAAAACTAAACTGTATCTCCTATCGAATTCAAATGCCTGTTCATTCATTTACTATATTATCATTTTTTGGAACTACATTGTACCAGAATTCATATACTTTCAATGAATAAATAACTGACATACTCAAAGTTAAACCTACCACCTGATATGGCACCATTTTCAACTGATTCACCACCGTCATGCGATGATCCAGAGGTAGGTATAACTGTCACATCCTCTGATTTAACTTCAGCCAATTTACTCGAGATCGTTGTTGTTGCTGTGACTGTGGTATTGTTGATTTCATCTGATTTCAAATTGGATAATTTTGATGTTGTCGAAGCGCTTGAACAGACACCATTGTTACTACCTAATTTACGACGACCACGACCACGTAGACGTCCAGCTGTGCCAATTTGACTTGAATAAGCAAGACTAACACTATTCACAGTAGTATTACCATTACTGTTGATAGCGTTATTATTATTATTATTGTTATTACTATTACTATTGTTATTACCACTATTATTATTATTATTATTGGCAGATGTTTTCCCACCAAAGAAATTTCGTTGAATTTTAAAAAAATCTTTACCATGAATACGTAAAGCATGTGCAAATAAACGAACTTGATCTGCTGTCCAATGTCTAGGAGTATCCTGAATAAAAAAAAGCATAATAATAATAACACCATTATATTCAATTGAAACATCTAGCCAGATATCAATGATTGGATGATAGAGATAATACAAGACAGCACAAAAATTAGATCCAGGATGTCATAACGACTAAACCTTCAACCACTACCACATAATATATCACAACATAGTGTACGCAATGTCCAATCAGTTAGACGATTTATTGGTCATCATGTAACTTGATCGGTAGAATTCAATCAGCAATAGAGAAGAACTTGACATGCATGACACTGATCGCTAATCAGTGATCAATCAATAGTACACAGAGTCATAGATCTTTACAAAATAGTGGACGAAAAATTCGAGTATGCGCAAAGTGTATTTTCAAATAGTGCGTACTTAGTTATGACCCAACAGGTCCACATAGATTCCTAACATCTTTTTAGTTAGATTCAGGCATGAGAAGACCAAAGGGAAAGAGAGAGAGAGAGTTGATAATATTACCAACCATTGACAATAACTAATATAAAACCAAAACAATCTGTACACGATGTCTTAGTCGGTGGTATCATCTATCTGATTCGTAATTCAGTAGTATTATCTGATTATTAGTAGCACAAAACGAACTCTTTTACCAGGGTACAAATGCATGTTACGCTGTGTACGTGTGTAAAAGACTACCGATGCTAACCGATTGTGGAGTGAAGTTGAAACATGCGACTTAGTGACTGATCATTAAATGTCTCAGCCACTGAGGTGAAGTAATAGACTAGCTGGTTAAGGCTTTAACTTTAAAACATAAAATCATACGTTCAAACGACCTGGTAGAGTGTCACTAGTTTTCAACACTTAAAAAAATGTGACTTCAACAAACAAAATACACGAATCTGTGCATGGTGACTTGTAGTGAGAATGACTAATTTGGCTTCGTGTGCCCTTACGAGTATGAGGGCGGATGTCACTTCCCGGTAGCCCACACCGTGGATGTTTCTTGTGAAACCTGAAAAACATGTTACATTGGCGTTGATCTTAGTGACTTGGGAGCGTGACCGTAGAGCACAAGGGAAAAATGCTTGAGGCCGGTCACACACAACCTTTTTATAGGAAAATTGTATAGTGTTAGTTCTGCTCTTCAAATGGCCCTACCGCCGGAGATGGAAATCTGTGAGGTAAGGTGAGGTGTGACACTGTGAGGGTTGACCATTTCTAACCCCTTCCTTGAGAGAAGTCACAATCGCTGTACATGTTGGTTGACCGAGAGAAACATCTTAATACTGTCATACCTCTCTACAGTCAGTAGTACAACTTTACACTCAGACTTTGGGTTGTTGCCTTTAATCGTACTACTCTCCAATCGACCTGCCTGGCATGGTAGAACCTAAAGGAACACATGTTCCTGCTGATATAGCTCGACTTGGTCTTATCAAGATAGGCAAGCCCGACCACCACCACCTCAAGGTAGCAGCTACAGTCAAGTACAGAGAATGTGAGAAAAAATCATAATAATCATCAAAAAACATTTCACTTGACAATACCGAATTACCTTAGCCACAATAGGATTACATGATATTGCTTGTAGAGCATTTTTTAACGAATAATTACACCGGTGTAATGTATCATAAGCATGTTGTGTGGTTGCGGATAAATTAGCTAATACTAGACCATTTTCAGCTGATGTTAAATCGTCATCAGCTCCACCGAATCCAAAAAATGCCACCATTGATCTGACAGCATCTAAATAATTTTTTAATGGTTCATCAGATAGCATAGAATTAAAATCTGTATTATGACTACTGGTTATGGATACATCATTGAAATGCTCATTCATATGTACATCATCATTATTCTGATGATGATGATAACCAATGTGACTGGAATAATCCAATTTCTTTGTGGTACAATTAACATTGCCAGCACCACCAGAGAGAGCAGACGACAAACCGCCAGGACTCCAAACAAGTACTTCTTTAGAGTGTGAATGTTGCAATCGTCTTCGTCGGCGGTGTTGTCGTCGCAGCCAACGACGATGTCGTTTTCTTCGATGATGCAATTGTTTTTTATAATATGAATGATGTTTTCCATCATGATGATGACGATGAGAATGAACACAATCAGTAGTAGTTATAGTATCTGAAGAAACTTTAAAATCATTTTCATTCTCTAATTTCGGCGGTAAATTCAACATTTGTGCATCTATGGATTGTTGAGTAACTACTACTACTAATTCACCAGTGTTCTCTTCAGTAGTTTTTAAGTTGTCTGATAAGTTTGGAGTAGTTTCTAGTAGTTCACACATTACATTATTACTATTAGAGAGATGATCTTCATTTTGTGACAATTCTAAAGACGTTTTCAATTTTTCATTATTAGTATTATCAGTATTCAACATTGAAGTTTCAGAAAAATTACTATCCAGATTAGAATTGATCAATGAAACATCATTCTTAGGTGATTTTGCATTGTCCGATGGATTATTATCTGTTAGCTGATTTGTTGAACTGTCATTATTATTACTGTTAACAGTAGTAGTGACAGTATTGTTAGTAGTAGCAGTAGTAGTAGTAGTAGGAGGAGGAGGAGGAGGAGCCGTTGTTTTACACCGGTGTTTACGACGATAATGCAATGATGATGGTGAATGCGTTTTTTTTCTTAAACAACATTTAGACGTATTTGCATCTTGATCGGCGGCGCTATATGATGTTCTCAATGGAGCTGCTATTGCTCCTGAAGTACGACTACGTTTACCTGGACGAAAACTGCCACGACTATGACCGAAACGATACATAGCCGGTGGAGGATGACGAAATGCAGGCAGTAAAGCTTGATAGGCTTGTCCAACCTTGAAAAAAAAAGCAAGAAATGTAAACAAATCAAAAAGATTACATTTAGCAGTCTCTCAGTCAGTCGTGAATCAAAGTAGAGCTTCGAAAAAATAAATGTATGTATTGACCCAGGTTTCCAGACCATATTAGCATAAAGCGATTAAATTAACAAGATGTGCAGTAAAATAAATTAGAATAATGTAATAGAAACGATAACTCCACCCGGAACACTTTTGGGGTTACTGCCGGTTCCAAACCAGGATAAAGAAGAAAAGTTGGACATGGGCTTAGCAACACGATCTCGTAGAAATCTAACGCGCTAAAAAAACGCTAACTAAAATTTTAGGGAACACAAAGAATGGATGCTTTTGAGCCATGACAAACGACCCTGAGCCATATCATCCAAGGTCTCTAACCATCGATTACTATCATCTTTCAGACACCAACCTGGTACTCTACACTCACCAACACGGCACAGTTCAGTCATCAGTGAATTCATGGATTTGTGCCATGTTTTGGTCTGGCCGCTCCTAGCTTTCTTCCAAACTCCTCATACACAACAAAACATAGCTCATCGAGGTAGTCAGTGTGGTTAGGGATACGCAACACATGTCGCAACCACCTCAACTGATGAAGTTACAATACTACATCTATTGATCTGCCATCCTTACCAAATACCCTTTTCCTAACAATTTATTCATAGGTGAAAAACACAGAAATTCACATCACTTTAATCGGTTTCGTTTGAAAAAACAACACATTATTGTTTATCATATAAAAAAACTATCCATACTTTCAATTGTACACATAAAATTAACTGTACAGTCGATGTAGGAGAATAGTTTGAGACAGATATAGAGAAATATGCATTGTGAGATTGTGGAGATTGTTCAGTTACTTTGTGAAGTCATAAATCGATCAACATTAGAGCACACCATTATAAACCTGAAAGCATAGAACAGCTGTTTTAATCATGGTATGAGACTTATCATTGGCAGTGCACATCCACGCCTCCTACTATTCACAGGATTCGAATCGACGACCTTCAGACTTGCACGTGAACGCCTAACCTCTTGGATCACATAGAGAAATCATGTATTTAACTGTTCTTATATTTTTTTTTATCAACGAAATTACAGAAAAATTAAGAAAATAAAGGAATAAAAATCACATTCTACGCAAATATGAAACAAATACACACACAAACACACGAACACACACACCAAATTTTACATTAAAACATACACGTATTTCTGCACGAATTTTCGATAAACGACGTGTTTCTGGATTATACGCAAACACATAGAAAAAACTATCATCTTCATCGGGTGAAAATGTCGATAAGGCAGTTTTTAAATCAGGCAAATAATTCACTTTACATAAACCACGAAGTTGTTTTGCTGGTAATGTTTCTTGTACTTCAGAGACAAATAGTTCACGAGCAAATATCTATTTTTTTTTTAAAATAGAAAAAGAAAATAGAACAAAACACAATGTGATAAGGAAAAAAAAATTTTTTCTACTATGACAAAACCAAAATAACATTAGAAGATAGGAATAATTTACAAGACAATTGATTTAGTTTTACTATGAATTTTTTTTTCTTGTTGCAATCTACGGCACAGAAAGAAAATAGTCATCAATTGAAAGAATTTACCAGAAAATCTAATCATACTACTAGTTTAAACAGTAAATTGGTGTATATATATATATATATATATATATATATATATATATTTTCATTGCCTAACATGAATTGTAGTACACTATCAGTATTAGCATATTGTTTAAAATATTTCCAATTTGTGTTACATAATAGTTTAAAAGTGACAATGAAACATATATTGAGTGAAATAATGTAACATTCCATGTAGTATAACAGAAGTAGTCAGTCAGTTACAATGTAGAACTTCGTACGTACGTCAGTTCAGGATGACATAACGCATCAGAACAGAAACGAAACTACCAGTTCAAATCCCATAGTAGTGGAGATAATAGAAGAACTAGTAGTAATGGAGAATATTGGGGATCGAGGATATTATTAGAGAAGTATGATTCAGTGAAATCACTTTAGAAAGAGAAAGATAGAGATGATGATAAAATTCAGAAGGTTAGAATTTGAGAGAACACAAAGAGTGGATGCACCTGAGCCATGTCATTCAAGGTCTCTAATCATCCGTGACTTTCGTCTCGCCGACCCCAACCAAGTAGTCCGCATCTACCGATATGACTCAGTCCACTTGTCAGTGACCTCATAGATTTGTGCCATGTTTTGGTTTAGCCACCTCGAGCTTTTTTCCAAAATATTCCTATATCACAAAACATAGATCGTCGAGGCAGTCGGTGTTTGGGCATTCATAATACATGTCTCAACCATCCCAAATCGGTCACAATCAAATAACTGTAGAATTTGACACAAAATTTTATTAGACACAGATATCACATACAACATTCATAAAGTGAGATAGAACTGATAAAAACAGATATTATAGGAAGCGATTTAATAGTGTCTGTCAGATTCACTAGAATAGCGGTTGGAAATACACCTGAATGACGTACCCGAGGTCTGCTTCAGTCGGAAGATTGTCATGGTTATTCAGGTATGTATATAAATGTGGTTCTTCAATAAATCTTAAGACAGTCAACATGGCCGTCTATGCAAAATAGATGTCTGAACCAACAAGAACGTGGTCAGTTCGTGGAGAATTAATTCAGCCAATAAGATACAAGAATGGAGTGATGAACCCTGATTACTAATAAGTAGTATAATACTGAGACGAGAATTCCACAAATGTCAATGACAGCTCAACATTGTGGAAATGATTCAAAAATGAAAATTGCGTAAGACGGAAACCCTGCTACTCAACTGCCTTCTTGTTGTAGGGGTATAGTTTATAAAACTGAGAGAATAAAAAGCCTATGTCCCTGATTCCAAAGCAATCGTGGACATTGGCTCCACTAACCTCACGGAACAGATGCCGTATGGACCTATTGGTAGTTAGTAGTTACCATGAAACTGCATCTCCTGACGTTGCTCCACTTTCCTTTAGATCAAACATGTAAATTAAAGGCTCACGGAGTGGTCTCCTAAGAGAACCACCTGATTCGGTTTCGTCAGCCATGCTGTATCTCATTCCATTCATAAGTTCAGTTAATTTATATGACACATAAATATTTAGGTGTCTCATTGTACCAATAAATAAGAATGGAACTCCAAATCTAGGGAGCGATAAAGAAAGAGAGCATTTACATCACAGAACCCAATTCTAAGCAGTTTCACTTAGCGTTCTCGATCGATAGTAATAATTATTTCGCAGACTGTATATCAGGCAGCCTGCATCTACCAACATAGACTTGGACTGATTGATACCAAACCTGAGTTTAAGAGCATTTGGCTTTCACATAACTCAATCTTGTTTATTTTATACGATCTATACGAATCATCCCTAGTGAAACAGGATTCATGTGTTACCCTGTAAGTAAAACGGTATATTAATAGTTCAATAACTATGCATAGATTTAGACAGACGACTGTAAATGATGATGACACAATACGATGGACTAATTCATGTTTGACCTATAACACCACTGGATCTTGGTCCAGTGATCTAAAGATGTTAAGCATTCACATGCAAGACCGAAAACCCTGAGTTCCATATTCGGTTCTGAGGTCATGGATGGGTGCTGCTGCTGAGGAGCACCATACTACAACGGAACAGCTGTCTAATGCCATTATGTTCTTAATGGTTGTCTAACGTAGATCGGTTCGTGATTTCAATGCAATTTTACAGATGAATATGAATGGGAGCTATTCCCTGTTGAAAATTTTAGATACGTACTTTTCGCGCTTCACTTATCTCGGGACTCTCATCAATGCTGATGGCCTCATGACTGACGAAATCTCAGCACGGATACAGAAGGCTCGACTGGCTTTCGCCAACTTGCGTCAGTAGTGGCGTAGGAGAGATATCTGTTTGTTAATCAAATGACGATTCTACGGCGCAGCAGTTCGCTCCGTTCTATTTTATGGCTGCGAAGCATGGCCAGTGAGAGTAGAAGATATTCGTAGGTTATTAGTACTCGATTATAGATATCTTCGAAGCATTGCTCGTATATCCTGGGACAACCAAGTGAGCAATGCTGTTATTAGGAAACGGGTGCTAGGTAAGGGTGGCAGATCAATTGATGAAGTTTTGAAACTGTTAGGATATTCATCCAATATGCTAAGAGAATTATTGGTCAAAATTATGGTCGTTTTAACTGTCAAAGTCAAATACTTCAATGTTGTCTCTGATTGGTCATCCGCACTGTCAATGTCATTTCAAATGGTTACTATCTATTGGTCGTCCTAACTGTCAATGCCACAGAATTCGATGCCGTTTTCTATTCGACCAAAATGTATAAATACCCATTATCTGAAACGTTTTATGACCACGACCAGTACCAGGACCTGGTCCCGGATCCTGATTCTCTTCTGGACTCAGATCTCGTACTTTCTGGATGCTTGTAGAATAAAGACTCTACTTCATATCAAGTCTTCTTATTTTAACTAAATATGGGGGTTGGAATAATCGGACTTGAGTAGCATGTGGTGTCACCGGATCCTCGATCCTCGCTTTCGTTTCCCGACTAGGTAAACTTGTAATAGTTCAAGTATATCAAGTTGACGTGTTTACGTGCAGGCGTAACAGAAACTTCATCAGATGAGGTTGGGATATGTGTTACGAATGTCCAACAACCAACTGCCTCGACGAGCTGTTTTGTGGTGTAGGAGTAGGCTGGAAGAAATCTAGGGGCGGCCAAACCAAAACACCACAGAAATCCATGAAGTCACTGACAAGTGGACTAAGTCATGTTGGTAGATTTAGGCTACCTGGTTGGGGTCCGCCAGATGATAGTAACCGATGGCTAGAAAGTTTGAGTGACATAGCTCAAAATCGTTTGTCATGGCATAGGTGCATTCATTCTTCGTGTTCTGTCAAATTCTAATCTTCTTAATTCCTCATCATATCTATCATTCTCTTTGTAAATTTATCTCACTAAACTATACTTCTTGAACCCTAATTTCTTCTTCATAACCGCTATTACTTCGACTATCTCTACCATCATGAGATTTGAAATGAAGTTGTGTTTCTGTGCTATTGTGGTATGGCAACCTGAACTGATATACGTACGTGAGAAGTTCTGTATTGTAACTGACTGAGTGATTCACTTTATTCAGGTTTAGACAACCGGTTATTATTATATCATCCCTATACAACATGGTGACTGGCTCAACAGTCGAGTGAACAAAAATCTCTACTTGACCAACACGTTACATCACATTCTTAATTAACAACTTTCAACCACAAAACTATGAAAAAATAATCATTAACTTGAAATTTAAAATTTATACAAGCAGTGACAAAAAAAAAACCATAAGTCTTTCTTCTTGTAAAAAACTGTCATTATCACCACTCTACATTGTCGAATATCTTTTTTTTGCTCCATCAAGTTGATTGACTAACTAACTAACTAACTAACTGACTAACTGACTGACTATTTCTCTCATAGTAATCCATCATGAATTGTCAGAACAAAAACTAAGCCCATATTGTTGTACAGTGACATGACATACGCACGTGTGTGTGCATATATTCATCTTCGACCTGTCTATCTCTCTTTCTCCATCCATTTAATATATTTACATCAATCGGCCTATTATACTACCGATGAAATAGAGAATTCAACAGACTTGAAATAAAAAACTGCCTTTCTCAAATTACTGAAATACACACACACACACATACACACAAAACGAATCGGTATTGAAAAAAACAAAAATAGAAAAATGATTTCGTTTTAAATAAAACAAAAAAAAAGAAGACTGGATTAACAATCAACCAAAAATAAAAAATTAATTTTCCAGTCACTAAGTCAATAATTATTGGCTTATTTAATGTTTTCACACAATGTAGTAGTAGTAGTAGTAATAGTGGTAACAAAATAGTCAATAATTATTAAAAAAAAAACCGAAATAAAACAAACCAAATCGAACAAACAAATAAATAAAAAGATTAGTAAATCGAACAAAGCTAGCGAACAAGAGAAAGCGATGCGCGATATGAACTTCCACCACCACCACCACCACCACCACCACTACACACACACACGTACAATGATGATGGACAGACACTTAGGATGGTAAATGATACAAGCGATTTTATAGACATCGTTCTCTCTCTCTCTCCGTGTGTGTGTGTGTGTGTGTGAATGATGCAAACGATACGATACACACACACACACCTTAAATTAAGTGCGTACGTGCCGTATCTATGCTATGCAGGCATGCATGCACACAATAGAGAAAGAGGAACAATTTATGAAAGTAAGTATAAATAAATGTTGACAAACTTACATCACGAATCAATTTTACATTAGAATTCACTGGATAATTATCTCGATCAGGAAGACCTTGTTTAGATATTTCCGGTATATCACGTGTACGATAAAAGCATTTAATGAATATTGAAAATTTGTCACGTCTAGATACTTTGATTTCTTCAATTAAACCAATGGTGTAATATTCAAAATCTGGCTCTTCATAATAAACAAAATCACCTAATTAATAAGCAATAACAAATAATAATTAAGAAGAGACTAAGAAAAAAAAATACTTTTTCTAAGGATAATTGTAATAAAGTGTGAGAAAAAGGAATGAGAAAATGTAAAAATAGTACTATGCTTAACACGTTGAAATCATGAATGAATCATTGTAAGACCATAGCCATTAGAGAAATCTGGAAGCACTGAACGGCCGTTTCGTCCTGGTATGATGGGACTCATTCATTGGCAGTGTGTATCCACAGCTCCTCTGCTACTCGTAGGATTCAAATCTAGGAACCTTTGGTTTTGGGCACGCACTTAAATACGTCATTTGATATGCTTGAACTATTAAAAGTTCACCTTAGTCGATAAACGAGAACCAGACAGTGAGTGACCCAGTGACACGATAGGCTACTCTAATCCGAACATCCCGAACTCCCATTCAGTAAAACAAGAACACTTGATATGAAATAGAATCTGTATTCTACAAACATTCAGAAAGTACGAGGTCCGAGTCCACAAGAGGATAAGAATCCCGGACTAAGGATCCAGGTCATAAAACATCACAGATAATGTGTATTTATACAGTTGGGTTGAATAGGAAATAGCATCGAAGTCTGTGAGATTGACAGTTAGGACGACCAATAGGAAACAACATTTGAAGCATGTGACATTGATAGTTAGGACGACCGATAGGAACTGACCAATAGAATTAGACTTACAAACAATCATCTTAGGATATTGGATGAATATCCTAACAGTCTCTAATCATCGGTTGACAGACATGTTAACACAACAAACAATCATAAGTCAGATTTTTGGGTTTAGGGTTCGCAAGACATTCAGTAACCATCGATGGTTACAAGCTTTGAATCACATTGATCAAAATCATTTTTCAATGGAGTATAGATAAATCCATTCTTTGTCTTCTCTCTCAAATTCTAATCACTTCTGAATCCTAAAATGACCTTGCTTTTCCTCTTCTTTTTTTTTATAAACTTATCACACTGCGATATACTTCTTAAATGATATATATTTGATTATCGATTATCGTGAATACTTCTACTATCTCTACTACTATGAGGTTTGAATCGACAATCCTATCTTTGTGTGCTAATGTGATGATATGGCAACTTGAACAGTGATGTATGTGTACATAGTAACAAGTTCTACGTTGTTGTCGATTGATTGATATGTATTGTTGAAGTTTGAAAAAAAAAAATATATTCCCTTTATCGAACACACAATCTATGGATGTTTTAATTTAAAATTTCGATTTTTTCGCATGATCGAAAATATTGATGAATTACGCTGAGATTCAAAAACAATTTTTAAGTTATGTTGTTTGTGTTTTTTTATCTGTCGGCTGGAATGATTTATTTATGAAAATAGAAATTATATAAATTAACGCTTTATTGTGTAGGGCAATTTTTACATTGGTTTTCAGGAGAACCAAGGAGACTTGTTCACGTGTTAGCATTTCAACATAAAACAGTTCGGCTCAATCCTGTGGCGCAACCACACAGATACTTGATGGACCTGGTGGACTATTCACGCCATTTATAATATATACACTAGTGCATATATAGTGATTATTTCTGATCTATGATCGCATAGTCAATTCATATGCACAGCATGAACAGGCCATATTCGACTCATTCCGCTTACACGACTGTCCGACTGATTATTATTAGGAATGATGATATGCATTACGGCGTCCCAATGACAATGACAACTGCCAGTATCAATCGAATCGGTTATCCTGCTAACCAATGTTGCATATGAACTGTTAGCAATACTTGCAAAAGCAATGCCAAGCCATTCAAAATGTTCACATAGAACCTCTGGTCTCATAGGAAACCTTTGGCTCTATATAGCAGTATAGCATATTGTATACACATAGTGTGGCATAGGATAGCAAGAACTGCATCCCAGCTTGATGAAAATAGGCTCAAACACTCTTAATACCGTTTGTCTCATGTCGGTTAATGATTTTTTCACAATAGAGAAATTTTCATTTTCCCGACCATATGAGACCTGAATTAGGGGTAGTAGTATCACACTATTTAGTTATGAAAATTCTCTTTAAATTATGCGCTGATAATGTTTATAAGAATGATGAAAGCCTTACAATCAAACCGTTTAATTCAAAGATCACAACATTAATAATATATCTTTATCCTAAGCTACAAATATTCACCAATTTTTTTTTATTTCCAAGATAATAATTATTTATTATCGATAATTATATAAGGCTAGCAAATGTCTTGGTACGAGGAGTGAAGAGAGTTAGCGCTTTCTCTTGAAATGCTCTACCTGATTCCAAACCGGTAATGTACATTGGCTCCAACATCCTCACGGAACAGATAGCGTGTAAACCCGTTGTTGGTCACTCGCTACCATAAGACTGCATCATCTCCTGACATTGCTCTACTCCCACACCTGTTTCGATTTTGTCAGCCAAACAGTATCCCATCTTATCCATAAGTTCAATCTAGAGGTTAAGCGTTCGCGTGCGAGACCGAAGGTCTTGGGTTCGATTACTGTGAGTAGCGGGAGTCGTAGATGCACAGTGCCTCTGATGAGTCAGTCCTATAACACGACTAAAACACTCGTCCAATACTTTCAGATTTCTAATGGTGGTCTAACTTTGATCGATTCATGATTTCAAGCATCCATAAATATTCTTTTTTTTTAAAAAAAAACAACAACAACAATCCTAGCAACTAACAGAACATAAACAAAATGATTAAATGCTTGAATCGAATAAGTTGATACATTAATTCACAAAAAAACCACATAGCCTAATAAAAACATAATGTGACAAAAAAAAAACAAACTAAGCAGCTATTCAAACAAACCAACAAACCTGTACGATATTCAATACCAGAAATAATGCATGAAGGAACATGATCATCGGAATTTCCATCATTATTATTATTGTTATTATTGTTAGTATTATGAGTATTGCTAGGTCGACCTTTACCACGTTTACTACGTCGTAAAGCAGGTTCTAAATCTTCAGTGATTGTTTCAATTGGTCGTTCTTCCGTTGTTGTTGTTGATGATGTTGATGTTGCTGCAGTGTCAGTACGACAAGTATCATTATTATTATTATTATTTTGACTTGTAGTTGAACTTGTTTTAGAATTTTGATTAGACAAACTATTAGAACATTTTATCGACGAATTATCTGATTTATCCATAGGACACGAATGAATAATATCACTTTTTAAAGACAAAGAATCATCATCCATATTGAAATACTAATAATAAACATTTGTAATGTGAATAGGAATAACAGAGTTGCAGTAATTTTAATCACATTTAACAATAAAGTAAATATCTGGGGAAAAAAAAGAAAGAAAAAGGAAAATATTTTTTCTTTCTCTTTTACTGATTCAATTCTATTTTAAAATATTATGAGAATGAATGATACTAGCTTGGTTAGCCAAACTGAACTGGGATGAAAAGGAGATTCCAAAATTCGAATAACACCATTTCACTGGTGATTGATTTAATTTAACAAATGCCAGAAAATCAACGATAGGTAATGTGGAACAGAAGAAGAAAATCTAATTAGCTTGACAATTTTATCTGAATTGTTTGCATTAGCGGTGTAGCGTGTGATAAAGCAATGTGAGAAGGGTGAGTAGTGGAGATAAGAGAGTTGTTAAGCGGTGTAGAAAGGATTTTTATTGTGACCGATTTGGTCTCGCGTGTTGTGACAGGTATGAGGCGGTTGTTACTTCCCTGCTGCCCACACCGTCGAAGGGTGTTTTTTGACGAACCTGAAAAGGAAGGAACATTAGCGTTGGTCTTAGAGACTTAGGAGCCTGAATGCAAAGCCAAAGGGACAGCCGATTGAAAGCGGTCACACACGGCCTCTTTAATAGTTTCTAAAGAGTTAGCGCCGCTATTTTTAAAAAAGCCTTACCGCTGGAGACGGAAACCCATGAGGCAGGGTGAGGTGTGACATTTTTACGGCCGACCTTTTTTAACGCCTCCTTCCTTGTGGGAAGACAGCAACGCTGTAGATGCTGGTTGTCCGAGGGAAACACCTTACCACTGTCGCCTCTCTACAGTCAACAGTACGACTTCGCCCTCAGACACCGAGCAGCTGCTTTTAGTCTCACCGTCCTCCAATCGACCTGTGTGGCATGGTAGAACCTACAGAAACATATGTTCCGGCTAATATAGCTCGGTTGGGTCATGACAATAGGCAAGCCCGACCACCACGTCAAAGTATCAGCTACGGTCGGGACTTGGCAACTAGACTTAAGATTGTGAGCTCGACTACAAACTGCAGCCTATTTTAAAAAGAACAATGATATTGCTTACCGGGAAAATTAATGATCTTACTTTATAATAAGATATTTGGATCGTTGCAGAGGGTTCCGAAACACCTTTCTCCCAACCAACAGTTTCTTAAATTACTAGCAGTTCATGCTCAAACCTATGCACTTAAAATCACCTTTAAGACATAGAACACTAATATGCAGTTTCTACACTTTCATAGTTGAAACTAAATCTGATCTTAGCTAGATCAACACTAGAAACCTGGAAGCAATGGACTTTCGCTCTGCCCTAGTATGGGACTCCTGAGCAAAGCAAATCCCCGACCCATACATGGAATCTAGTTCAGAACTTTCGGTTTCGTACACAAACGCTTAACTTCTAGACCATTGAGCCATCCTTTAACGGTATTAATATCTAATCCACGATGTTGTGCGACCTTTATCCATTGCCTGCAGTGAATACCTGTCTCCTGACCGACACGGGTTTAACTCCATTGGTCACGACTCATTCACTCTCGTGAAGAATGAAGATTTGGCTGAACTGGGAGACTAATTACTACGTAAGAATTTCTGGAAACATCATCCAGAAATCTAAACTACTCGACTTTAATCACTGTGGATCACATAAAGACTACTGTGAATAGCTGACTGAAAAGCATCAATACAAATACAGATTTCCGCAAATTCGACAAATGTATTTTACATTCTGGTGGTTTAGACAGTACGCACTATAAATAACACCTGGGCAATGATGTTGCACACCCCCGTCTACATCCAAAATTTTATCCCAATATGGTTTGAACAATGGAAAGATTCAGAAAGTTTCCAACAATGAATTATTAGTGCACAAGGAAAAAACTTAGTTAACTTCAGTGCATCACTTTAAAAGATCATATCAAAGCACAACTGTGTATGACAAAAGAAGTTCTAGTGTCAATAAATAGGACTGTTGACAAATACTAGGTTCAGGCGTTTGATATAGCATATGATCACTGCATCCAAAACCAGAAAGAAACCGGAGCATGGTGGAGAAAATGTGTCGCTCAGATGTGGATGATTGTGGTAGAGTTTTGCTCTCTGAGCTGGATGTTTTGGTTGTGGGGCTTTCAATGTTCTTCTGAACAACATCATCAAGGTAAACAGGACAAGCTACGGGTCAAACCGTGGAGAAATTCGAACACTTCACTTCAATCGGAAGTTTGTGCTGATGTTGTTCAGAACAATAAAAGCCCCATAACCAAAACATCGAGCTCAGAGAACGAAACTCCACCACAGAAATTGGAGCAGTTGCTCATGAACCAATCACTGAAATTATGGTGGCCAAACCACTGAATTACATTCTTAATAAACTTGATTGACGAATTTTACATCCAAACAGTTGGTGTACGAAACACGAGTACACTTGCTAGCGACCCATGGTACTCCAATTGCACGCTTTTACAGGTCACCTTGTGACAAAATCTAAATTTGCGAAGAATCTCAGCATGAAACTATTTAGGCCTAAATGAATCATTAAACTGAGACAACTGTAGCTAAAGTAATCCGAATAGGGATAAACATTATGTGATTGTACAGTATACGGATACATTACTTACGTATTGCACAAAAATGTCCTGGTGCGACTGAGAGCTTCAGGATCCTAAGGGAAAAATGGCTAAGCAAACTCTTGTTGGGCACCAGATACCAAGAGACTAAATTTTCTGACAATTTCCACAGCCTTGTAGATTGAACTCCTAGGTTGAAGGTCCGGAGAGCGGCCCCCCAGGAAAACCACTTACTTTGGCTTGGGCAGCCAGACAGCATGCAAGCTCATACAGAAATTCAATTATCGGTATGGTGAAAATATGTGATGGTACACGCTTCGCACCGATATTTATGCAGATAATGATAAGATACTTATTGTCCGAACGTAGCTGTTACCTTGATGTGGTGGTTGGGCTTGCCTATCGTGATGACCCAACCGAGATATATTGGCTAGAACATGTATCCCTTTAGGTCCTTCCATACCAGGCAGGTCGACTGAAGAACGAGAACACTAAAAGCAGCGACTTAAGGTCTGAGGGCGAATATTTACTGCTGACCGTTGAGAGGTGTGGCAGCAGTAAGGTATTTCGCTCGGACAACAAGCATCTACAGCGATGCTGCCTTCTCACAACGGAAGGAACGGGTTAGCATTCGTCGACCATGAAATGTCACACCTCACTCTACCTCACGAATTTCCGTCTCCAGCGGAAAGGCTTTTCGCAGAGCGGAGCTTATATGTTAAAAACGTTCTATGGTGTGGGCAGCCAGGAAGTGACATCCGCCCTCATACTCATAACAGTACACGAGACCAAATCAGCCACAATTAAATCCTTCTTCTCTCCATGACTAACCCTTTTCGTACATTTTTATCACCTCGCGCCGTTAATGCTAATGATTTGAATACGCGAGATGTTATTCCTGGTATCCTGAAGCCTCTGTCTAAACTATATGTTGGAGCTTTTAATTATCATACCATCTCGATTTACACTTTGTATATCTGGAAGCTCCACTGCTGCTTCCATTGGCCTCTGTGGTGTAGGTATAGTATTAAGTTCTAAGGGAAAACCAGCTCTCTTAGACAAGATTCCAGTAGATAGTCGATTATGCGCTGTCCGACTAAACGGCACACTAAAGACTCGGAAAGACAGGGATATCCACCACTGTCCCTTTGTTGTCTCTGCCTACTCCCCCCAGCTCGGTTGAGGTAAAAGATGAATCTTACAGAAAGCTATCGGACCTCCTCTAAATAGTTAAGCACTCCGATGTAGTTAAAGTGGCGGGTGACTTTACTGCTTAAGTAGGTAGTTTCAGTGAAAAGGAAAGACACCTGGGTGGATCTTGTGGTGACGCGACCCAAAGAACATATGATGGCGACTGTTCGATCCAGCTACGTCCAGATAACCGCCTATTCCTAGCAAATTTTAACTTGAAACATAAGGAAAAACATCTTTTGACATGGCAACCCCCGAAATCGACTAGACTTTGGACCCAACTAGATTACATAGCTATCATCCATCGATAGAGAGACTCGATAGAAGACTGTCGATTGTTGTGGGGCACATGTTTAGATTCAGATTATGCCCTAGTACAAGCGCGTATCTGTCTGCGTCTTACCGGACGTAGGAGAGAAAGCAAGTACACCCCTTACAGCTCTGCTTAACGATAGAATAGTCAAGAGTATATATCAGAAACGACTAGGAAAACAGTTAGGCAACCATGTAAATGATGCCTACCCCGAAGTAGCTGGAATATCCAAAAACATGTAGAAACAGATGTGATATCTGCCAATTTGGCTGGAACATAATGAGGAACGGAGTCAGCTTAAGCACAAGTTGATAAGAAGTCTACGCAATTATCCCGAACAGCTGTGGGTAGCAAAAGCAAGAGAGATGGAAAACGCAGCAGTAAAAGGTAACAGTGGACAAGCGCTCAGACTTATCAAGGAAACTGGCACCAGAAATCCGACTGTTAGTGAGACTTCCTCCACCCTCAGTCCAGAAGATTGAATCGATAGGCTGAACACTATAGAGATCAATTTAACTGACCTCCAGCCGCACTTCAATTACCCAAGATTTCCAATCAACATGAGCGACAAATTGATGTAACCCCTCCAATCCTTAATGAGGTTGAAGGGGCTATAGGTAATTTGAGGCGAGGGAGAGCAGTAGGTCCTGACAGGTTAACCCCCGATAGTTTTAGGGATAGCGGTTCAGTTTTAGCAGTTAGTTCGACTGCGATCTTAGGTAGAATCTGGAAACTGGACGTAACCCCATCTGGCTGGTCTCAATCACTGACTGTCCCAGTCTATAAGGACAAAAGTCCTTTTTTGACAATCACATAGGAATAAGTTTAACTAATATAGTATCTAAAATATTGGCCTCAATAATACTCCGATGCTTAACAAAAGCTCGTGAAGAGCAGACTAGAGAAAACCA